GTTCTTGAAAAAAATGTGTTTCACTTTCAGTGGGTATTTTCCTTTCTAAAACAGTAAAAGTGGAACAGCCTCTTGGCTATCTGCCCTGCAGCACTATCCTAATGCAGAATCACTCTTTGGATTTGGTAGCGTTAGAACTTAATGGATGGTGGTGTAAGCGAAATTAGAGTGTTGTCTTGGTTACTATTAGGAACAATAAAAAAGATTGCACCTCAGAGTTCTGCTGCTTTTAATGAGTTACTGGGCTTGACGGGATATAAAAAGCCCTTGCTTGGGGTTTTTTTTTCTTTGATTGCAGGATAGCTGATCACTTGCCCTGAAAGATGGAGGACAATTAAGATGGCTGTTGGAACTCAACAAGATACAGATGTCTGTAGACCACTCTTTGACTATGGGAAATTTTGCTGTACCTCATACTTACACTTTATGCATTCAGAAGATCTTCCTGTTATCTTATGTAATAGGTGGTAAAGTCAAAATGCACTATTTATTTTCTCACACGTAAGTCATCAGCAAAGAAAGAGCAGATTTCTAGATTTCTTGGAAGGTATTGGCCAGCAGGGAGAAATTGCCTGTATGCTTGATTCTGCAGTTCTGCAAACCAGTGAGGATAGACCTGATCATTTTTTAAAATATTGCATCATTTCAACATACCTATTCCAGTTATGGTGAGAATGGGATCTGACTGCCAAAGTTAATTTGATAAAGCATCTTGTTTAGAGGCTCATAAGGATCTTTGGAAAAAACTAGAAATTTATGTTCATTGCTAAATCTCAAATGGGAGTCTTTTCAAGAGTCAGAGTTAAAATCCTCCCCTTGGTTAAAAGCCTTTGCACACCCATCTTTCCAACTTTAAAGATGTTTATGTTGTTCCTGTTAAACACATCATGTAAGTGTGTTACATCTTAATAACACAAGGCCACAAAAAGAGGCTCTCAAACCACAGCATGTGTCAAAGGACTGTAGGAATTTCAGGACAAATATTATTATTCATATGTATGATTATAGAATAACTGGAGAGAGATTCTCTCCCCCAGCACTGATTATGATAAAATTAGCATGTAATAAAACATTTCAGTTTTTAGGGTTTTTTAAATATTCTCTTTTCAGCAAACTGAAGGTATCTAAATAAAATTTAACACTGGATTTCATGAAGAGAAACCTGGACGGAATTTCACTGTGTCTGCTTGATCACAGTTGATGTTGTGAAAGGAACAGTGTCCCTCTTGAGATGGCACTGGGATCTATAATGAACACAAATGTGTCTTCACTTGGTAGCTGTGTGGGATGGGACTTTCAGAAGTACCCCATTGACCTGAGAGTGTAAATCACAGCTAAAAATCCCTGGGGCTTATGTACGTCCTCAAGTCACTCAGGGGACTTTTGTAAAACCCACCCTTGGACGCTTCTGAGCCTAATTTACATCCTGGCTTGGACTACTTTAGGCACAATGGCTTGAACCATCATTAGAGAGTCCGCTAGAATTGGACACTTCATACAAAGCTGACACGCCAAGCTCTCCTGTGTTGTGAAGTATCAGTTTATAACAACTATAGTGAGCGAGATACTGGATTTTAGCTGTTAGGCATGCAGTTGATCTTTGGCCCAGTAGTGCTTTCCCATCAGTGGTGCAGGTCTGGACCTTTTGGTATAAAGCCTGTTCCCATATTTATGTAACAGGTCCTAACTCTAGTCTTAGGGAATAAACAGATACCTCATTTGAAGCAAGTCTGATTGATCCAAGTCACAACCTGGGACAGAAGAAGAGTGGCACAGCTCTTTACACACACTGCCCCTCTGGCAATTAACATGGATAAGCTGCAACTACACAGCATTGTCTCAGGAAAAATTGTTGGCACATTTTCTCTCACATATTCCACAGGTACTTAAAGTAGGACAGAGGATCCCAGGACAGAAGGCTTTCTCCCAGGAGCAATGTGACATTTGTTTTCACTTTTATTCTAATATTGAAGCTGCAGAATTGATTCTCTTTGTAGAAAAGTAATAGTCTTCTGGGTAGACACATGAGGAGGAACTGAAGTTGATCAAATGTGTCAGTTTGATTCATTTTTGCAACTCCCCTAGCCCCCATCCTTATTCATAGACAGCATGGCAATAAGGTATTAAATCAGCAAATGGAGAGGGGCTTACTTTCATCATGTCTGCAAGGAAACAAGCACATTATTGAAAGTCTCTGTTGAAAGTTCATGGGTTGTCAGAGGGGAGAGCAACAAGGGTGATATTGTGGTGGGTGTCTGCTATAGACCACCAGACCAGGAGGATGAGGTAAATGAGGCTTTCTACATACAACTAGCAGAAGTTTCCAGTTCACAGGCCCTGGTTCTCATGGGGAACTTCAGTCACCCTGACATCTGGTGACAGAGCAATACAGCTGTGCACAGGCAATCTGGGAAGTTTTTGGAGAGTGTTGGGGACACCTTCCTGGTACAAGTGTTGAAGAAGCCAACTAGGGACCATGCTCTTCTTGACCTGCTGCTCACAAACTGGGAAGAATTGGTGGGAGATGTAGAAAGGGATGGCATCAGTGGCCACAAGATGTTTGAGTTTGGGACCTTGACAAAAGGAAGTAGAGCAACAGATTAAGGACCCTGGACTTCAGAAAAGCAGACTTTGACTCACTCAGGGAACTGATGGGCAGGATCCCATGGGAGGCCAGTCTGAGGGGGAAAGAAGCCCAGGACAACTGGTTGTATTTTAAAGAAACCTTGCTGAGGACACAGGAACAAGCCATCCCGATGTGCAGGAAGAATAGCAAATGTGGCAGGTGACCAGCTTGGCCCAGTAGAGAAGTATTCAATGAGCTTAAACACAAAAAGGAAGCTTGCAAGAAGTGGAAGCTGGACAGATGACTAGAGAGGGAGTATAAGAATATTGCTCAGGCATGCAGGGATGAAATCAGGAAGGCCAAAGCACAACTGGAATCACAGGTAGCAAGGGATAAGGTAACAAGAAGGTAACATGAAAGGTAACAAGAAGGGTTTTTACAAGTACGTTAGCAACAAGAGAAAGGTCAGGAAAAGCGTGGGTCCCTTACTGAATGGGGGAGGCAGCCTAGTGACAGGTGATGAGGAAAAGGCTGAAGTATTCAATACCTTTTTTACCAGACTACTGCACTGGGCAGCACAGTTTAGGGAGAAGGTGAACAGCTCTCAGTGATGAAAGAACAAGTTAGGGACTATTTAGAAAAGCTGGACATGTACAAGTCCATGGGGCCAGATGCAATGCACCCAAGGGTGCTGAGGGAGTTGGTTAATGTGATTGCAGAGCTGCTGGTCATTATCTTTGAAAACTTGTGGCAATCGGGGGAGGTACCAGATGTCGTGGAAACACACGCAGCATACTTTTGGGTCAGGTCAGCAGAAGCTTTTATTTAAAAGAAACTACAGCTGTAGGGGGGATTCCAAAGTGACATGGATTTTCCAAGCACTTGGAAGGGGTCCCCCCCCAAGAGCAAAATCAGGAGGCTTATATACTTTTTAACAGTTGCTTACAACTCACGTGATCATATAGTGAAATTAGCATGAAAAGCGGCTATAATGTTACTTTATTATTTCTTTGCTGTAATCAGGATGGGAACTAATGGGGGAGGCGAGGTTAGTTCACAAACCTCCTTCTTGTACCTGCAAATCAGAGTTGTACATACTTTTTGCTATCTTCAAGGCCGCGGTGAGCGAAGCAGTTGCAGAGGAGTTACAAAGAACAAACACTTTCTCTTATCTGTTCTACTATACAGAGCCAGCAATTCTCCACAAAGCGGTTATATCATCTTATAACTAAAATAGTCAAAGTTTAAGGCATATATTTTTTCTGATTCCACACAGACAATTGGAAATATAGTGTCTATCTTTAAGAAGGGGAAGGAGGAGGATCCAGGGAACTACAAACCAGTCAGCCTCACCTCAGTCCCTGAAAAATCATGCAGCAGGTCCTCAATAAATCCATTTCTAAGCACCTGGTGGAGAAGAAAGTGATCCAGAACAGTCTGCATGGATTTACCAAGGGCAAGTCAGGCCTAACCAACCTGATTGCCTTTTATGATGAGATGGCTGGCTCTGTGGATGCAGGGAAAGCAGTGGACATGATATACCTTGACTTTAGCAAGGCTTTTGATATGGTCTCCTACAGCATTCTTGTAAGCAAGCTAAGAAAGTATGGGTTGGATGAATGGACTGTAAAGTGGATAGAAAGCTGGCTGGAGCATCAGGCTCAGTGGATAGTGATCAATGGTTTGATGGCTAGATGGCAGCTGGTATCAAGCAGAGTCCCCAAGGGTTTGTCCTGGGGCCGGTTTTGTTCAATATCTTCATTAACAATCTGAAAGATGGGATGCAGTGCACCCTCAGCAAGTTTGCAGATGACACCAAGCTGAGGGGAGTAGTAGATACATTGGAGGGTAGGGCTAGGATTCAGAGCAAACTAGACAAATTGGAGGATTGAACCAAAGTTAAGCGTTGAACTCTTAACCAAGTTAAGAGGCTGTGACTTGGATGACTACACAGTCCGGTGGGTGGCGAATTGGCTAGAGGGTCGCACCCAGAGAGTCGTGGTGGATGGGTCGGCTTCGACCTGGAAGGGTGTGGGCAGTGGGGTCCCGCAGGGCTCGGTCCTTGGACCGATACTCTTTAATGTCTTCATCAGCGACTTGGACGAGGGAGTGAAATGTACTCTGTCCAAGTTTGCAGATGACACAAAGCTATGGGGAGAAGTGGACACGCCGGAGGGCAGGGAACAGCTGCAAGCAGACCTGGACAGGTTGGACAAGTGGGCAGAAAACAACAGAATGCAATTCAACAAGGAGAAATGCAAAGTGCTGCACCTAGGGAGGAAAAATGTCCAGCACACCTACAGCCTAGGGAATGACCTGCTGGGTGGCACGGAAGTGGAAAGGGATCTGGGAGTCCTAGTGGACCCCAAGATGAACATGAGTCGTCAGTGTGACACAGCCATCAGAAAAGCTAATGGCACTTTACCGTGCATCAGCAGATGCATGATGAACAGATCCAAGGAGGTGATACTTCCCCTCTATCGGGCACTGGTCAGACCGCAGTTGGAGTACTGCGTGCAATTCTGAGCGCCGCAATTCAAGAGGGATGCGGATAACCTGGAGAGGGTCCAGAGAAGGGCCACTCATATGGTTAAGGGCCTACAGACCAAGCC